ATGACTGCGTGTACCACCGGTGGTACACATAGTAAGGAACGTGTTAAACAAGATGAGAGAATCGCATTCCTAGAATTGATCATTAGCGTTTGCCATGTAGAACAACTGCGAACATAATGATTAACGAATTGTTATTATTTACTTGGCGAAAAAATGTTTTATTCGTGAATTGATGCCGACGTCAATTACGATTACTATACGGAACTTCACGTTTCTACGTTATTTGGCCTACCTTTGTGTAATCACCTTTGACCCTACAATTTTCGCGTAACACTTGCCAGTCACGGACAACACTATAGCATCGTCTGATTGATCGTTAGCTACGTCTTCTGACAGAAGAATGTAAAGTGTATTCTATGAAACTTTACATTTATGATAAAAAAAAATTCTTATCGTATGACATTATTAATATTCATTGCAATGAGAATGTCGCATAATTAAACGAAGCAATTTTGGAGTTATTACGATAAAAATGATAGATAGATTCCTTGATCGATTATGAAGAGGTCGTGAACAAATTATCTATGCGAGTTTCGGTAAATTCGGTATTTTACATATTTCTTGCAAATCCGTAAAAATGTAGGAATAGAATTGCGAATGAAATGTTCTGCTAATTCAATTAAGGGAAATGATTAACAAAGTCTACAATTAATAGACTTTTCGCATTTATAGTAATTTTCTTTTTTTTTTTCTTTCTTTCTTTCTTTGCAGTGTAATAACAGTGACTGATTGTCACTAACAGTGTTAATATTCTTTGTTTAGGTCACGTATTCGGCGGATCTGGCCATCGAGATACCAGGGAACTTGAGCCAGGGAGGCTCTTGGTATCGCCTGGATTACAGCCCTGCTGTAGGTTATCCACCGCCAAATACCACCATAGCCGCCACCGATATCGGTGATGTGATCAAGTTTAAAGACGGACTTCCTGGCACTAGATATGAATTTTGGTTGTATTATAGCAATAGCACTCTTCACGATTGGCTGACATGGACTGCGTCCATAACTACAGGTATCGAGTAAATTTTATTCACGACTCGTGTGTCTGGTGTGAAACACATCGTGTATACGAGCATGCAATTCTTTTTAATTAATTTATAATTCTACCTAGTTTTTAATATTTTTATATTGTGGAAATTCGAAAGATCTACTTTATATTTTTAATCATTGTATCTCCACTTGTGTCGCATAATTTCATGATATTTGAAGAAAACCTAGTGTTTATAATATTTTAATTGGATTTATAGAGAATATCCTTTATAATATTTAATAGGTAAAATAATTTCCTACTTAGATTTTATATCTTTTAATCGTTTTCATAAACATGTAACATTACACAAATAACTGTAGTTTGACTGCAATGTAATGTACATGTAATTCCACATGCAATTCTTTTTAATTAATTTATAGTGTCGAATTCTACCTAGTTTTTAATATTTTTATATCGAGGAAATTCGAAATATCTACTTTATATTTTTAATCATTGTATCTCCACTTGTGTCGCATAATTTCATGATATTTGAAGAAAACCTAGTGTTTATAATATTTTAATTGGATTTATAGAGAATATCCTTTATAATATTTAATAGGTAAAATAATTTCCTACTTAGATTTTATATCTTTTAATCGTTTTCGTAAACATGTAACATTACACAAATAACTGTAGTCTGACTGGAATATAATGTACATGTAATTCCATGTAATGAACATGTAATTCCACATGCAATTCTTTTTAATTAATTTATAGTGTCGAATTCTCCTAGTTTTTAATATTTTTATATTGAGGAAAGATCTACTTTATACTTTTAATCACTGTATCTCCACTTGTGTCGCATAATTTCATGATATTTGAAGAAAACCTAGTGTTTATAATATTTTAATTGGATTTATAGAGAATATCCTTTATAATATTTAATAGGTAAAATAATTTCCTACTTAGATTTTATATCTTTTAATCGTTTTCGTAAACATGTAACATTACACAAATAATTGTAGTCTGACTGGAATAAACGATTCTGTCTTGTTCCTTAATTTGATTAATATAACGTAGTACAATTATAATTTAACTTCATTCAGCTTCATTCTTCTGGACGTTTCATTAATATATAATATTAATTCATTGATATTATTTTATTTTCTTTCAACATTAACGCACGACTATAACAAACCTATTAACCTAACGTTTCAAACTCACGCGAAAATTACGTAGTCGCGGTCGATATTATATTGTAATATAACGGCGCATTAAAAACTTCTAACGAGGTTCGTTCTTAATCACGTTCTTACTTCACCGTCCGCCCGTTGGCAAATTACTTCCAATAAGCGGAGAGAACAGCAGCTATTGAGTGAAACTGAATGCGGTTCGTTTTGCAGCCCCGGATCCGCCCTCGAACCTCACCGTCTCCGTGCGGAATGGAAAGACCGCGATAGTCTATTGGGCGCCGCCAGCCCAGGGCAATTATTCTGGTTTCCGGCTGAGGGTGCAAAGTTTCAGCGACACCGGAAATCCAAAAACCAGCGTCATCCCCGCGGATGCGGTGCCCTATGTTCTGCGTGATCTCATCCCCGGGGCTACGTACTCCCTTCAACTTTTCACCGTGTTAGACACCAAAGAAAGCGTCGCCTACACCAGCAGGAATTTCACCACCAGTGAGTCGATCAAACTACGATTCTCCCAGTTAGTCTTTCGTTCTGCAAAGTCGCAGATTTTTCACGTATTTACGGGAAATTTCAAAGTGCACGAATGTATACAACGTGGAAAAGATTTTTAAGCATATCCAATTTAGATTACTTATTTTTGTTATTTAAATTAGAATTTATCACACAGTGTCTAATGGTTGGGATAAATCTCTATTTAAGTTTCATTTTTTTAGTTTACAGATGTAGATGTAATAATTAGTACATTCAATATTAGTGCCCATAAAATGCTTAAAATCCTTGTTTTTCTTTAAATATATTAAATGTAATATACTACTGTAGTTCATTTAATATTCTATATTAATAACAATAATAATTCTTACTTTGATAAAATTTATTGATTCCTATATGTGTGTTTGGTTCAAAATTTTCGTTTAGAATGTAAAAGGAAGCCATCATAATCCCTTCAAGATGTAAATTCATTGAAGCTCTCTCGCGAGAAAATGCTCTAGTAAAAAATTAATGGAATTTAGTCCCATGTACATGAATCTTTTTATTTTTATAGAACCCAACACACCGGGGAAGTTTATCGTGTGGTTTAGAAACGAGACGACCTTACTGGTCCTTTGGCAGCCGCCCTATCCTGCTGGGATTTACAGCCATTATAAAGTTAGTATAGATCCTGCCGATGCCATAGAATCTGTTCTTTACGTGGAGAAAGAAGGAGAGCCTCCTGGGCCTGCACAGGCTGCTTTCAAAGGACTCGTCCCTGGTAAGATATTTATTTGAATAAATTTCAATAAAATAATTGACAAAATACTTTCTAGTTTCCTCACTCATTCAAGTCAGTGTAATCGGTCTAACGTCCCATTTTTTCTTTTTTTTTTTTTTTTTTTTGATCACTGCAGGCCGGGCTTACAATATTTCCGTTCAAACGATGTCAGAGGACGAAACCTCGGCCCCCACAACGGCTCAGTATCGAACGGTGCCATTACGTCCCCTCAACGTTACATTCGACAAGTCCTCGATAACGTCCACGTCGTTTCGCGTTTTCTGGAACCCTCCCGAGGGGGTGTCCGAATTCGATAAGTATCAAATATCGTTAGGGGGTAACAGAAGATTAGCGCCAGTTACCAGGAACAGAGACGACGAGAGTAAATGGGAATTCAAAGACCTAGAGCCAGGGAAAACTTATCAAGTGGTGGTGAAGACAGTGTCGGGCAAGGTAACCAGTTGGCCAGCTAACGGAGACGTTACTTTAAGTGAGTGTCCTTTACTTTCTACTTGGCTGTTAACCCTCTGACCTTCGACGAAATTATAAGAAATTTTCTGCAACCATAACTAATTGTAAGATTCCTTTCGATCTTGGTAAAAAACAGAAAATTGATAAATATTATTATTACGTATATTTATGTTTAATATCTTACTTTAATAATTAATAATTAACAGTTTAATAATAATCAATAATAATACTACATTTAATGTTGTCGTTATTATGTTCAATATCATTTTTCGTCAACATACGTGCAAAAATATTGTTCAATTTATTCACGACTTAATAACTTGTCGTAGAATTTGTAATTGAATTGCTATCATTAACTTTCTGTCGAAAATACTAATTCTGTTACGTACTTCGACATAGTTTAACGTGCATTGTCAATAATCATACATAGTGTTCTGAAAATGATGAATCTAGTCTCTGTTATCGACTAACTTTCCTCTCGATTATTCTGCAAACAGGCAGAATGCTTAATAAATTTGCGCGACAAAGTTCTTTCTTTTTTCAAAGGTTTTTCTTCAAAATAATCATTCCGATCTTAATAAATTTCTTCAGAACCGTTACCCGTGCGCGATCTTCGCGCCGTCATCGATGAAAAAACCGGAATGGTGGAGGTGTCTTGGCATCCCGAAAATTCGAGCACTCAGGACAGCTACAAGCTTCAATATCACGAAGTGGAAACTACGATCGGCGGTGACAGCAACATGTTGACAACTGACAAGACCAAGGCAAGCATCTTCATTATCTTGCTTTTATATATTCACAAATGCACGATTCGACGAATTAAGATTTTGTTTATTACGTAGGAATGTGCGTACACTGTAGCTAAAAATAGTTATTGCAATATAATGAAAATGATAGAATATCGGATGTAAAATGTTGAAATATTAAATGAAATATCCATCCAAGGATCCTAATCAAGGATATATCTGTTTTTATGTAATTTAGGCGTTTCTTTTGCAAGATAATTAAGAAAATTCTATTCTTTCTTTTTTATAGGAATATAGAAAATGTATCAAGATAAAAAAGAAAAAAATAGTACTTTTTAGTAAAAATGAATATTGATATTACTCTATTTGTAAAAATGAATATTATTATTCATTTTTACTTATTATTTTTAATTATTAATATTATTAATATTATTTAATTATTAATATTATTCTATTAACATCGTTATTCTTTTTTTATCACGAGTTCACAATGAGTAAACGTTTTCTCTTAACGATAACTTATGTAGTTAGTAATAATTATAATTAAATGAAAATTATAATTATTATAATTATAATTATAATTATATTTATAATTATTATATTATTATATAATAAATATAATATATATAATTATATATTATAATTATTATATAATATATTATAATTATAATTATAATTATTATACACAATACAAAATATTGATTGATAAGTTCAATGAAAAATGCATGAAATCTTTGCGCGTTTTTTTTTTTTTTTTT